ACTGTCACATGCACAAATTACTTGGAAAAAAAGTATTTGGTTTTCAGGAGTTAGAAATCCACAGAAAGAGTAAGGAAAGCATCATAGTGTTCTTGGGGGGAGCCCACTTCCAAGCTAAGAGCACAGTGCCTGATCTTTCTCCCTCATAACTCCCATTCTGGGGAGGACAGAACAGTTTATCATGTACCCACTTGTGCTTCTACATTCTATACCTCTTGCTTTGCTTAACATCTGGGTTATCTTTTTCCTATATCAGATCAATGCTGGCTGCCAGAATCCTCTGGGAGGCCTCAAGGTCTATCTAAAATTTTCCTACTTCTCCAAACAGACACAACTGCCAGGATGCTAGTGCCGATCAGGGCAGATTCCTATTTTTTTACTTCAATAAGTAGGTTTCCTGCTGTTCACTTGCTCAATGTGAAAACTCAGAAAACATGCTGAGGATGCTATACCTTTCTGCAAAGTCTCTCTAGTCCATGCACACGCACACAGAGCTTAGTTTTTAAAGTAGTAATAATTAGAAGTAGACAGACATAGATTTAGATCCCAGCTCTCTCAGCTTGTGCTTTAATTATCCTTTTTTGATCCCCCCCAAATGGAACAATCATGGCTTCTCTTTGGGGTTATTGGGCACACAGAAGATTCAAATAAGTAGAAGCTTTTACTATGATGATGATGATAATAGGTGAGTTTAGTTGCTAGTAGCAAAATGAGAAGAGAAATGCTGTTTATATACAGTGTAAGATGATATGAAGGGACCAGTGAAGGAAGAAATTGACAGACTTGGAGCTACCGTAAGTTTTACGCATCCATGAAGTTGGACAAAGCTGAGCAATGAGGACCAGCCTGCTTCACCGATAGGCCTCCACTGGGTGAATACACTGTGACCCTGACCCTCACCCTCAGAGGTTCAGAAATCTAATCCCATCCAGACATCATCTCACTCAGGGAGGCTGACTTAGACTGAAAAACTCACAGAGGCCTGTGCATAAGACCAGCTGTCCACTGATCTCATGCACTACACACACACATCTGCCTAACCAGCATATTCACTCCCTGGAATCAAGCAACATGGGATGACCAGAAAGTACCCAGAAACTCTGGAATCCTGAGAGAGAAGTTAGGGGGGGCTTTGTTGTTTGTCTGTTTGTTTGTTTAGATAAGGGATAGGGTCTTACTATATTGCCCAGGCTGTTCTCAAACTCCTAGACTCAAGCAGTCCTCCTGCCGCAGCCTCTCAAGTAACTGGGACTATAGGCATGTGCCACCGCACCCAGCTGAGAAGTTACTTTTAACACTGAAACATACAATGGCCTCAGCCCTCATTAATTGACTACACAAGTCTCCATAACAGAGATACCTGACAGAGGGCCAGACATTCTTGTAAGAGACCAAAGAGGTATAGCCAGAATTCTCCTCTCAGAGTCTCCTTTCTTTGCCCCTAAGATTAACAAACTTCTCTTCAGATCAATGAATTCCTTCTTTAGATATATTTATACTTTCAGTCAGTGTAGTCTCCTGCCTGGGTACCTCTGATAACAGGTGGATTTTAACTCTGAAAAGGGCTTAAAGGACAAGGGTATTTCCAAGTTCTTGGAGTAGGGGGAAAGGTTATCAGTAGGTAACTAAGGATAGGACGGTCTACAGGTGCAATAATTTCTGCCTTCCTCATCTCCCAGAGAGTTGCAAGGACATAGGAAATTGGAACCATCATCTTGGTGTCAGAAGGGACCTCCTTCACTTTACAGATGGAACTTTCCCAGTGCCATGCTGGCAGCTTGGACCACACACTCCGTTCTTTAAACCAAAATTTTCTCTCTAGAATTCCTTTCTTATCTCCTTTCCCTGGTCTTTATCTGGGGGCAAAACAAAAGCAGTGAAAACTATAATTTGATGTTTTCCCCAGACACTCCCTGGCTCAAAGTAGCTCTAGACCCTTGGGCACGAGCCAGCAAAAGAGTGATTGGCTGGTTGCTCTCTGACTCTGCCAGCCTCTCTCTCTAGTCTAGAGGGTTTCCCTGGGCACTCTGTGGCAGAGCTTCCGGCTGAATGCTTAGCTGGGTCACAGGCATTTCACCAAGATGTATTCCCCTCCCCAAAGCCATCACCAAGAAGTTATGATCACTAAAATGAGTTTAGAGCTTGGGGCTGAGGGATAGCTATGGTCTCAAGGCCTCACCTTTCTCCACCCTGTCCCTCTCCTCCATGAACTGGACCACTGGCTGTGTCACTTCAGTCTTCAATTTGTGTGACAAAGCATTTTTCCACTCTATTCCCAGGGCAGCGATCAGGACTCCAGAAATCATATAAACCCCTGTCTCTTCTCTTTGAAGTTAAACTCCCAAGTCCTTAGGAGATTGTCTGGCACCAGGTTTTTTTCTCCAACAAGTGATCAATGAATTCACACTATAAGCATAACCAATTGCTATTTGACATTAGCAACATACTAAAACATCACCACATCCTCTGGGTAAGACTCTTGCCAAAAATATTTTTCCTGAATCTAATCTTGAGGAAACAATCAGACAATCCAGGATATGGGACTTTACAAGACAACTGGCATGGACTCTAAAAACAAAAGTCAATGTTATAACATTAACAAAGGCAGAAAAAATGGCAGGGGATAATTATAGACCTGTGCTGTTGAATAGACCTTTCTGTGATGGTGGAAATAATCTGTGTCTGGGCTGTCCAGTATAGTAGCTGCTAGCCAAATGTGTCTATTGAACACTTGAAACATGGCTAGGTGACTGATGAACTGGTTTTTAAGTTTATTTAACTTTAATTACTTTAAATGTAAATAAACACACATGGCTACTGGCTTCCATTTGGATATAGCATAGTTCTAGAAAAAGAGAGTAAGAAATAGACTAACCAAATGCCTGCATAAAGCTTGACTGTATTCTGTATCAGAAGTAGGTGAGGAGTGGGAAAAAATATTCCTGGGGTATAGAGACATGTAAATGTAAACTGGCTATTAGATGATATTATTGGGTTAAGGGTGATTTTCTTAGGTGTGGTACAGTGTTTTAGTGTTGTAGGACAATTTCATTACTAGAAGCTCTATACTTAAGTATTTAAGGATGAAGGGTCTGCTACTTACTTTCAAATAGTTCAACATGCACACAACGAGACAAAACAGATGTGGCGAAATGTAATTGGTAAATCTAGCTGAAGGACATACTGGTATGCACTGTACACTTCTTTTAGCTTTTCTATGGGTTTGAAAAAAAATTCAACATAAAACGTGGGAAGTAAAAAAGAAAGAAACAGACAACCATAGAAGTGTGATAGCAACACAGCAAGGCTGGCCACTTTCTCCAGCTCCCAAAAGACTATTCCAAACATATACCAGTAGGCCCTTGAACAGAACAGTTTGAATGCAGATCCACTTAACACATGGACTTTCTTCAGCCTCTGCCACCCTGAGACAGCAAGACCAATCTCTCCACTTTCTCCTCCTCCTTGGCCTACCCAACATACAGATAACAAGGATGAAAATCTTTATGATGATCCAATTCCACTTAACAAATAATCAATATATCTTCTCTTCCTTATAATTTTCTTAACCACATTTTCTTTTCTCTCGTTGACTTTATTGTAAAAATTTAGTATATAAGCAAGGCACATCTGTAGTTCCACGTATTCAGGAGGCTGAGGCAGGAGGATTGGCTTGAGCCCAGGAGTTTGAGGCCAGCCTGGACAACATAGGGAAACACATCATCTTTAAAAAAAGAAGAAGAAGAAGAATACAGAGTATAAAATATATAATACATGTAACACCAAAAAAAA